CGGTTGTAGTCGGCGAGCGACCATGTGTTGCCGTATAAATTCGAGGGGCTGCGCGTGCAGATTCCTATGGCGAAGTGACCTCCTCCCTCCTCACCTCAACGCGCACTGAACCTCGAATCTACGTACCCCCACTCGTTTCGTCTTGTCGCAGTGCTTGCATCGGTACTAGTACTCTCATTACAGCACTCCCAAGCTCAATTGTATCCATGCATCTTTCGTTCGTTCATCGAAAAGTACGGCTCCTTGCTATTGCTATCTCGCTAGTTATTCTTGTACAGTGTAATACGTAGTCACGGTGGGTGTATGCGGGGGCGGAGGGAGGGAAGAGGAGGGGGAGGGATGGAGGGGAGTGTATTCCGTGCTTGCTGGCACACAAACAAAACTATTGATGCGTTGGTTCTTGCATACACTCTGGCCCGCGGACAAGCAATAAGGGTCCAAGTTATCGAAGACGCTGACGGAGGGGTGACAGATCGCGCGACGGAAGCGAGGAGGCGTCGTGGTTCGCCGACGCGGATCCCGACGAGGGGACGATCGATGGCGTCATGGGGGTGGAATCTCTGACAGTGATACATGTAGGTGTCAACGTTGACGTGGAGTGGGGAGGAAGGGGGACGTCGGCGGAGGTTGTGCGAGGCAGCGGTGTCGAGACGCTTGTATGGCAGAATTGCCTGGTGTAGGAAGGCGATTACTCGATTTGGCTATGTCGACCTTGTACTCCAGGTGGCCCGCGACAGGGCATGCATTACCTCTTCAGAGCCATGGGGACCTCGTTTGTCTGCCACGGTGCTGGTCCTTTGACTTTGAACCCATCCACGTCCTCAGACAGTCCTCTGCATTGACAATTGTCCTCAGGCGTTCCTGCAGCGTAAGTACGTGTTTCATTTGTCGGAGATTTCCGTCATGGATTATATCTCATTATAATCGGATTATATAGCGGAATCTGGGTCCGGTAATATAATCCATTCCTATTGAAGCGAGGAATGAGAATCTCGATTAGAATCTCGATTTTAATGCAATGAGGATCAGGCCAATGCTATGTTTATGAGATCAGGATGACGGGTCCCTCAGTAATAAGACAGACGGAGCGCCGAAATATTATGGCATGCCAATGCTCTAAAAATAATTGACGTGACATTACAACGGAGGCCATGTCAAATTAAGGAGTAGACAAAATAATTTACTATTCTATGGTTTCTACTTGTTAATCAAGGGCATCCCAGGAATCGAACCAGCGACCTAGAGTTATTAACGGAAGAAACTTATAATATAACAGACAATATAACCGTTCCGCCAGCGGAGCTATGGCTCGAAGGAAACTAAACGTAATATATTCGCTGTATAGCCCCCTAGGACTATAGATACCTTGTCTACAAGTTGCGACAAGGGCAATAGTGAGACGAAATAATGCATCACAGTACCCAGTACGTAGCCTACTTCTTACGTCCACTCCTCCGTGCCGCCGTCTCCACCACCGCCACCTTGTCCTTGCCTTTACGAGGGGCTCTGACCTTCTTTGAAGATGAGCGGGCCGTGTCCGAAGACACTGCATAGGATACAGTCCTGGCCTGCGCAATTGACACTGGCGCAGCGTGGTTGTCATCTGACCTTCCCGAATCCTGCTGCACTGAAGCTGTAGCTGAAATGGGGCAATCATTAGCTTCCGGTGCAGCAGCAGACAAGCTCTTGGACCTCCCTGCAGCGCCCTCATCCTCGAGGGAACCTTGAAGCCGAGCTCTCTCCAAGAGCTGTTCTATCTCTTCGACATCACTCTCATTACCCGAGAGAGGGTCGCCTGAGAGACCCGAGGCACCACGCGCAGATCCAAAGATGTTCAAATTGTAGAGGGCCATAGTTTCCTTTGTAGACTGAGATTCTCGCGTGCTCAGAAGAATGCGCTTGTAGTTATTGAAGAACACCTGGTAGTCAATCCCAGATACGGCGCCTTTGCCTTCTGTCGGAAAGGTTCGGTCAGGTGACAGTACAAATATCACCTGTCAGGATGTCATCAGATGGACTCGTTCACAGCGAACGCGCCATCTACTCACGAGAGTTGCGATCATAGCGATCGTGCCTTCTTCGACACTATTGATGCCTAGGGTCTTCACCTTACTTTTCTTTCCAGCCCTTGATGTTTCATCGAGGGATGTTGGCCCAAGGAGAAGCACCTTCCCGGCCTTATTCAACGTCGATTAGCATTCATGATGAATGTTATCTCAATGAGCGAGTACATACACGGTATAAGATAGGATTACGAAAGATCTGTGCGTCATCCTTGATTTTGTTGGGGTACAGAATCGGCGCCATCGCACGATACGACGTCCGACCTTGCCACTTCAAGAATGACTGGAAAATTTGAAGTTTGGCCCGATCGAACCCCAAGTAGAATGCGCCAGAGTGAACATTATCTTGAGGGCTGAAGTCGAAGATCCGCATGCCATGCGTACGAAGATTGCTGATGGCGGTAGCACGCGTTTGGGCGTGATGGCTGCGAAACTACATGATGTGAGAAAATGAACCATCTGACTTAGAAATGATCACCTGTCATACCAAAGCTGCAAGCTTCTGATCCTCACGTAGCGGTTCTTGAAGGTGGTCCGGAAGGAAGTCGGCCACCTCAGCCACCAGGCAATTAAGTAATGCTGCATCATTTGAGAAACGAGCGTCATCCCGGTAGTCGACTGTATTGCCGTCCGGGAGAGGATGGGAGAACAACGCAGAGGCCATGAACGGTTCCTTCAACCAGAAATACTTACGTGACCACGCTTTGACATCATCCCCAAACTTCTCCACCGCCAACGAGACATCCTTGTTAGACCCTCCAGCGGGCATCGCCATGGAAGACATGCGGGCGTTCTCGGCCTCCAACGTGTGAATGCGATCCCTCAGTGCACCGTTCTCTAATTGGCATGCCTTGAGAGACTCTTGGGCATTTGCGAGGTCCACTTCTCTAGTCTTCAATACCTTCGGAGAGATAATCAGTATCCCCTTAGATTGGTCTCACACTGTCCAATTCGCATACCTTGAGCAGAACATCTCGCGGTGTAGAAGACGTGAAATGCTGCGGCGCGCAGCTCCCTTCTGAGTCGGATGATCGCTCAGCATCGGACTCGCTCCGAGAGCTGGAGGACGACATCTGTGCCTTTTCAGGACTCCGAAAGAGGAGAGTCGAGAGTAAGAATCTCGGAATCCTAAGCTGCTCATAAGTACCGGGTCGCGTTAAGTTTTACGTACGGCTTACACTTGTATATGGCCTGGCAGGATAACTCGTGCTCTGCAACGTGTAATACAGAGCGCCGCTTGCAGCAGAGAACACAATTAGGTGGGCGATCTTGGCGCCCGTGTCACTTTACCTATGTAAATAAACTCAGGTTGTTGTCAATAGCTGCGCTAAACTTGCCCATATAACAATAATCTCTCACCAATCTATCTGCGCATTCTGGAAGACGCTGTGCCAAGCTTGGGTTAGTTATCTGTACCAGGCGGCGACGTATCAACTCCCGCAGGTCAGACATCATCAGATTGATTACTAGGCACTCGGATGTGTCGCATAAGGCAGGTTTTGCATCATATGGAGAGTCAGTGAATGGCATGGGTTACGGGATTCCATGCCAGTTGCGGGTACGGCTTGCGATTGACCGTACCCGTGACCCGCCGGGTATCGAGAACGTGTTCGTGTCGTTGAACCCGCTCTCGAAACCGAAACCCGCGGGTACCCGCGTACCCGTACCCGACCTGTCGACACGGGTTTGCGCGCGGGTTCGATACGGGTACGCGTGGTGGCACTCGCGTAACCCAGTCATCGCCCTTGTATCCCCACAGGCTGCGTTTCCTGGCCAATTCAGCGCCACGGACGCTGCGACTGTAGACGTTGGTCCGAGCTTTCTTTTTTCGTTGCAGGTTCCGAGGACGTGCCTTCGCTGTGTCTGAATGATGAGTGGAGCGCGTTTAGCACGGATATGACGGGACAACAAGCTCCGCGTACCAAGATAACGAATGGTTCTCTTTGTCGGAGAGGACTGGCGCAGTCATCGAGGTCCGGGTGGTCCAGTGAAAGGTACTTACGTGTGCAGGTGCTGGTCACTGATTCTGCACCAAGTTAGAGAGGTACATGCCCATGCGGGGTACTCACGGCACATCGGCGGACTGCAGAATCGCGTGGTACATGTCGTCCAGCGCGCACAGCTGCAAGCTCTAGTGAATGGCACGGGTAAACCCGCGGGTGCCACCACGCGTACCCGTATCGAACCCGTGCGCAAACTCGCGTCGACGCGTCGGGTACGGGTACGCGGGTACCCGCGGGTTTTGGTTTCGAGAGCGCGTTCAACGACACGGACACGTTCTCGATACCCGGCGGGTCACGGGTACGGTCATTCGCAACCCGTACCTATACCCGCCCGTACCCTTACCCACGTAACCCGTGCCATTCACTAGCAAGCCTTCATTGGATCCTCTTGCGTTTTGTCTGGCGCGATGTAGATGCGATGTGAGAGACTTTCAGGATCTATGAACGTCAAAAATACTGCATCGCAAATGCTAACCACTCACCTGCAATACCATCAGCCTCGCAGACGACACGAGCCCGGGTCAACGTTGAGTGAGAGGAACAGGTGTGGCACGATGTGTGGATCGTTCGACATCCTCGAGCCAGCACGGGGTACTGGCGGGTACGGGTCGCATTTTGGCTTTCCCGTAAGCTGCCGGGTCGCGAAGATGCGTGGTCGGCGCGCCTTCGAAACCGCAACCCACGGGTACCAGCGCACCCGCCCGTACCCCACCCGATACAGGTTTCGTTGCAGGCGTGATATGGGCTGGGTATGCGCTGGGACACCCATTGGTGTACCCGTGCACTTCCCTATCCGGATCCGGGGCCGCTGCAGAGGCAGGGACTTGTAGCACTTCTGGTCCTGCCTGTGCCACGGCAATCTCTTCCTGGAGGTCCACGTAGGTGTGGTCTGACCCGGGGGATGCAGGCGGATCGTGGATACGTTGGTTGGTGAGGGGTGCAGGTCGGGATCAGTGAAGTAAGCAGCACCGGTGATACTGAACTGTGCGCTGAAGGTTAGGGAGCAGCCCCGGCCGGGAAGAGGATCTTGACAGCCGGCTCATGAATACATACTGCCTGTTAACAGGAAGCAGTCAATCAAATCCAGCTCATCTGCTGGGTCTTGAGTGTGGGTACGCACCTGTAAGTTGTTGAACGGCCGTCGGCATGTTCGAGGTATAGCTGGACAAAGTTAGAGGTTGTCTGGTGTTGTATGACCTGCAGCCAATGCGATATGCGTGGCACAGCAGGCTAGTCAAGGGTCGAGACTACTGGAAGCGCCGTGGGCACACATATACACTAATACATCACTTCTTACTTTGCCATCCAGAATATCCGCTGCTTCGTGCACAAAGTCTGCAACACTGTATGGACTAAGTTAGTGGATGACACTGGTAAACCCATGGGTGCCTTGACACGTACCTATATTGAACCCGCAAGCAAACACACGTCAGGTCGGGTACGGGTACGCGGGTTTTCGAGTTTGCATCAAAAGGTGCATTCTCATGTACAGCCAAACGCGACTCGTACCCGTACCCGGCGGGAGACTTATCCGTGTCCCGCACGGGTTCAAACTGAAGTTTGAGGTCTAAGACAGCCTGAATCAAAATTTCTGCTCACCTTGACGCATGCCCGCGGAAATTTCGCAAACCGGGCATTCAGACATGTAAAATTCAAGGATGGTGAACACCCACCCTTTCCGCTAATCGGGCTTGTCATTTTTGGTAACAAGAGGCGAGTGGGGCGGCAGCAGCACAAAGAGACCCTTTAGTTTCTTCGACATCTCCTCAATGCACGGCTTATAACTGGCGAAGCGGGAGGACGGTCTTGGACTTGGGCTGAGGAGCTGTGGGGTGTCTGTCCTGGATGTGCAGTGCCCATCACGTCGGTATCTTGCTCGTAACCCCACAAGGAGTTTCCTGGACTTACATAGCACTTGCTTGTGTCAATCCAAGAGAGCCACTGTGGGCTTCGGTGTCCTTTTCCTCGCGGCTACTTGATTCGGGATTATCCTGGGCTCCCTTGTGACTTCTCCTTGCACACTACCTCGAGGACCTTCAAACTGGATAACTGCAAGGTAGCATAGTGCCATCTGAAGTACATAAAGGCTGGAAGGTGTTAAAGCACTATGGGACTTCATGAGTGAGACTACATAGTCAAACCAAGCCGAATGTGATTGGGAGGGAGACAATGTCGAGGATTGGGAGCTTGGAGAAAGAAGCTGTATCTCTCATGTTTGGTGGTGTGAATGAAATACTGGTTGGATGTGGGATTGGGGGTTGGCTGAGAAGGGTTGCAACATGGGACTGTCATCAGGGTGTGAGTCAAGGTCTGAAAGGCTACCAGTATATCGATGGGTGCCAAATCTTGCATAGCAATTGACAGCTTGATCCAGAGATGGTGCAACACTTACTACTTGCTGGAACAGAGAAGTTAGAAGGTGGGATCCCGGATTGCAATGATGAGACTGGTCAAATGTCTGCCTCTTGGTGTCTCATGATAATGCACCTTCTCAGGTGCTTGAGATGAAGGAGGATTGCAAGGTTAAAAGGGGTATTGGTCACGTGAAGCAGCACATATAGGGCACATAAGTAGAGGCTGGAGATGTTGTTACAGACGAGGCAGTGACAGAGAGATGTAAGGTTGCCACCAAGCCCAGGTGTGTGTCACACCTGGGCCACAATCATGATGGAGGAGATACTAACATACAGGGAACATGTGTTTCAACCGTAAAAACATATCAGTATCTACTGTGTCCATTACAAGGTATTCATCCTCATGCCCCTCCTCAAAATCTGGTGCAAGCAATGCCCCACGAAGAATACTCCTAGCGTCAATGAACTCTGCCTCGGACCGTGTTCTTGCCTTGACACGGTAGAAACAGAGATCTTTATCTTTTCGTCTCCGGGGGCCAGTTGGGGCATCAAAAGGTTGGATCAGGGCAATTGGGTAACTGCTATCAGCCACTTTGCATGTGAAGCAGAATATAAGCTTTGCAAAAATTGTCCCATTGGTGGTGTTCACCATTACACAGTCATAGCGAGGACTCTCCTGGAAGGAAGGAGTACAACGGAGGCGGTCCGTTGATTCACGCCAATCCACCATGGATTCATATTTGACACGTATGTATCGGTATTCCCGGACCTGCATAAATTATGAGCCAACAAGTATTTGTTGTGAAATCCTCATACTCACTTTCTCCCACGAATTCAGTTTGATGGGCTTACCACCAGGCAGCTCAATATCATATGCAGGCAAGAGGCTGCTTAAAAATTTGCTGAGGCCTTTCTGGAAGTTTTTGTATGCAGTGTCCTCTGGTGCCCTTTTTTCAAGCTGCTCCAATGCAATGATATCACCTGCTGACCCCAACCTAATGTGGCCAAACTCTACTGCAGTTGTTCGCTTCCCCTTCTGTGGCTCATGTTCCAACTCAAGTTCATCAGCAGGAGGGCTCACATCTAAGGCATTTATATCCTCCCGGATGACAGTTGCAACACGTGTCCTGTGGTTGTCCTGTAGAATCTATAATCAAGTAAGAAGGTGTTACGATATACAAATAGTCATAAGGCATACTGGCTCATCAACAATTTTGAAATTAGTTTTCAGATATGCCTGTTTGAGAGGCCTATGCATTTTCTCAGAAACTTTTGTATTGTAGTTCTTGGTTACCCCTTTTGCTTTGATATCTTCAAGCATGTGTCCCCGGCTGTGGTTCTTGGGGAATGACCAGTTCTTTGAGTTCCACGTGCCTTCAGGCTTTGGTAGTTTGACATACTTCTGGGGGTTTGTCAGTATATAAAAGTCCAAATCACCATTATACTTATCATCTTCCCACCTTCAGGAGTGAATCGTACTTTAAGATCTCCTCTTCACAGGCAGCAATTGTCTCTTCAGTGTGGACTTCAAAAGCTGCCCACATATCCAACTCCAAGTAGCTTCGCAAACACTGAAGGAAGACATAGATCCATCGGCTCTCAGCTCTGTCAACGAAGTTGTGGACTGCAAAAAGTAATTGCTGGTAGCACTGTCTGAGAATGACTACAAATAAAAGAACCATAGGAAATACCACCTTAGAGATATCTTCATACTTTGTTCCATCCATGAAATTCTTTTGTATAAACATCTTGAAATGATTCAAGCCAGGCCACCGGGGTAGGAGATCCATCCTGAGGAAGGCATGAGTCAGAGTTAATATTCAGAGTAGATATATGCTGACTGCTTGTCAGCAAGGTCCAATACTGCTCTTCCAAGAGACTTGAAAATATTCTGGAGCTCTTGAAAAAGATGGTCTGAGAAAAGTCCCCCATGATTGGCGTGTAGACGGTCAAACGACAGTGCTTTGTGAGGGTCTGAGTTCCGAAGGAACCAAAACACATTCTGTCAAATTTCAGTGAATTATCTGACATGAGAATGAACAACTCATAGCCTACATGTACAAGACGCAGTCCAACCTCCTTGAGGAACTCATCAGCATCTTTCTTGTTCATCTCAAGAGCTTTCTCGTATTTCTTCTTCATCAACCGAGCTGTACGTCGTGGCCATTTTTTTGACAAATCAAACTGTTCTTCATTAGGAACAAGGCATATGGGGCAAGGGTAGTTGGACATAGAGCCTCGGGTCAATGCCATAACACATCTAAAGCATTGTAAGCAAGTAACATGCTCCACAATAAATTCTTCATACTGCTCCTCATAGTCAGCTGAGAGTATCAGCACAGCTGGGAATAGATGTCGGGTGACACCATCCCCGCACTCTATCCATACTCCTGAGTGTGAATACTTTTCCACACTTGCCAGCAGTTGCCTGAAAGACTCATGCCAGATTGCATTCTTGAAGTTTACAAAGCCTGGTTTCCCAGTATCACCCTCAGTCTCTGGTATCTGATATCTTTAAATAACACCAATAATGTGTTTAGGTAATGACATACCACTGGAAGCCATCCCACAACTTGTCCTCCCCCAAATCCTTCCCCATTTCGTATCTCTACAGGCAATTGGGCAAACCGTAATACAATGGGGTAACCCTTTGCTCCTGCAAAAGAAGACAATTTTGTCTTATCAGCATATAAAAAGAAACATAATGGTTTTGCCCCTTCTGGTAACCCCTCCTATACTCTCATTCAATGTTTATCCTCAAGTAATACAGGTAGCAACTCACTTGGATTTCCCACATCCCATCACCAGTCCAAGGCTCATCCCACCATCGAACCCAACGTGTCCCATTGAACTTTGATAGCCTTTGTGCATCCCAAACAAACTGGGATATAATCCGCTTATCTCGTAGTAGGTCCAAGGCAGTGTCCCAGATCGGTCGATAGTAGAAATCATAGGATCGAGGTTCAGATTTGTAATCAAGGGTAACATCTGCTTTCTCAAACTATACATAATTAATCACTCCTGACCAAGATATAGGGCTATTGTGAACATACAGATGTCACCTTATAGGATGCATCACGCCAGCAGTTAGAAAGATCCTCATAGCTGGTTAGGGTGAACTGATCCTTCTTCTCCATTGCACGGTGGATCAAATCTATCAAGCTACCAAGCTCCTTGTGTGTCAGCTTCGCCTTATGGCCCAGTTCCGCAAACTCAAAATCAATCCGGGAACGAAATGGTCTCCATGGCTCTCGCTCGATGGGAATGTAGTCAGCTGTGGCTTGACCTCGATGGAACTCTTCGAAATGATGTATCTCAGCTGCTCTCCCTGTAGTCAAGGGATATTCAACTTTGATATCATCCACACGATACTCTTGAGCAGAGAGCGTAGTGCCCTGGACTACAAGACCATGACAATCAGCACTGACCACAGGAAGCAGGTTACTTACAAGCATTCATGATATCTGGTGCACCAACAGCTTCAGATGAGTCTGCACAGAACATTGATGTGAAGTATTACCAGATGGAGATTGAACAATCCTATAAAATACATACCTGGATCTTGAGCAATGACCTGATCCGAGTCGAAGTCACCGCCTGACAAAGAACACTAAGGTTAGCACTTGAACATGGGCACAGATCTGCATAACTCACCCAGCATTGGTGAATAGCTGTCAGAGCCCCCCTGTAGAGCGGCTCGTTGCTCTGGGATGAGAAACGTTAGGTTCACGACTGCAGTTCCATCCGCCGGAGACGACCGGGACAAACCTTCCCGTGCCCGTGCCCGTGTTCTCAAGACCTCCTCATATTCCATAGACCTTACATCTGCCTCCTTTGCTTTACCACAGGCTCGAACGTGGTTGTTGTACCCCCTCGATGATAGCTCGCGATCGCAGTGGGGGCATCGTCTCGTTTTCCCGGCGTTATAGACTTTCGCCGGGTCCATAGGTCCAACGCGCAGAGCACGCCACAGGTCTCAAGGCAAAACCCAAGACGAAGGGCAACTCCGGGGGCAATAGTGATTTCTAGCTGACGAAGGGGGGCACAGGTCGGGAACAGGGTAGCCAGAGTGCGACGAGAACGTCGACAAACTATGAAAGCTATTGCAATCCGATTCGAATCTCATTCTAATCCGACGATAATCGTAGCATGTAATTCATATCTGGATATAATTGGAATTTGATTCATATAAAAATAGCAGCTGGGTCCGGACCAATTATAATGCAGGAAGGAAATCTCCGACAT